AAACAGGGCTCCCCGTGTCCAGGCAGGCATCCCCTGCCAGTCGCCTGAGCTCTGGAGTCCCTAGGGGAGAGGCGGACACACCGAGGCCCCCAGCCCCTAGTGCAGGGGTGTCCTCACAGGCTGTCCGGGCTGCTGCTGCAGGGGCAGGGGCCTGCACGTTCTGACCTGGCTCTCAAGGTGTCTGAGCCCCAGGTCTGACGTACATGGTTTAAAATCCTGATTGCTCTGGCCAGTATGGCTCAGTTGGTTGAGCATCATCCCACGCACCTAAAGGTTGCCGGTTCGATTCCCGGTCAGGGCACATGCAAGAGGCAGCCAATCCTTTTTCTGCTCTCACATAGGTGTTTCTGTCTCCCTCTCCCTAAAAATCAATAAACAGTATTTTTTTTTTTTTAAATAAAATCATCTGATTATCAGGAAGGAGGGATGACCTGCTCTTGCTCCACTGTCCCCGCTTTGGGGAGGCCTCCTGTGACCACCCCCTTAATCTAGCCCCGCATCCTGCTTGCTCCTATCATTTCTCGCATTTATTACAGGTCAGCTCCGGGAGGCAGGAGCCTCGTATCCTCAGAGCCGGGAACTCGGCACACAGTTTAGCGCCCAGGAACTTTTTGGTCGCACGGTGTGATGATGTTAATACTTGGAAAGTATTAAACAGACAGAGTCCTCTCCCCCTAGCCCTTGCAGTCATACTCCTCTGAAGCCACTGCACCATGATGAGCCTGGAAGGGCGGGGCGGGGATCCTGAGGCACAGGAGGGAGGAGGCAGCTGTGGGCCGGCTGGGACTCAGCGATGCTGGGCCCTCCGGGAGCTGAGCAAGGGAGGCGCTCGCCCCGGGGTGCGCAGTTTAAGGAGGTGGCGCAGAACTCAGTCATCGGGATAACTTATATTTTAAAAAATCAAAACAAAGGCAAAAACACACGACTAATGAGATATCAAGGTTTTTACAGAAAGAGACTAAAGAGTCAGCATTGCCAACTCGGTCTGCTCCACTTGCTGTCCACACAGGGCACACCCAGTGACCCTCAGCTGGGACCGTCCACACACTGAAGCCGGGCTCTGGGGTTTTGAGAACTGGGTTCAAGGCCGGGCTCTACCAATGACTTGCTGGTGATCAAGCAAGTCCCTTTCCTTCTCTCTGGACTCTGGTTACCCGTCCGTCCTGCATGGGGGCTGGGGCACTGCCAGGATGACCCGTCCTGCTCATCGCCATGGCCTGCTGAGGTGACTGTCTCCCTTCCTGGGAGGCTGTGTCTCCAGGGGCATGGACTCCCGGCTATTAATATCGCAGCCATCCAGGCCTGATCAGGGTGTTTAATGACTGCCAGCTGTGACTCCGGCCCCCTCCCCCTGGAGAGATAAGAGCAGTTCCTGTTCCCACGTAGAGGGAAGCAGGGTCATTGCTCATTAAAACAGGCTCTGGGTGAGTGGTGGGAAATGGGGGAGGAGAAGGGGGGATGGCACCTAACCACCCTGGCCCATCACACCAGCTGGAGGTGCCTGGGGACAGTCTCCCTGGGCACCTCTTCCCCACGGGGCTGCCCTGGTCTCCCCGCCCCCTGCCTGGGCCCTGTTGACTTAGGTTCTGATTCCAACAGCCTTGGGGCTTCTCCCCAGGTGTCCCACAGACATTACATTCAGCATGTCCCAAACCACCAGGTCATCATCTTCCCAAACCCGCCCGCCCCTCCCCACCCCCCTTCCTCACCTGGATGATGGACTGGTGACTTTTCCCAGACCTGCCCACCCTCTTCCTCTGGGCCTCACTGAAGAAGCCTGCACTGGGCTCCTGCTGCAAAGAGGCCCCAGCAACTGCTCACCTGGACTCAGGTGTTCCTTGCGCTCATCACACTCCCTTGGGACCCACGGACTCCTACCTAGCTCTCAGAGATGTCACCGCCCGATGTCACCTCACCTGGGAAGCTACTCCCAATCCACTTTGATGGCAGACTGGCTGCCCTCCCTGGAGTGGCAGGAACCAGCCACATGTTACCCTCGGCCATCAAGGCGATGGTGGCCTCTCCGATGGTGGGAGACTCTTTGCACTTGTCTCCCCAGGAGGTGACCCCCTGAGTTAACTGGCTTTTGCCTACAAGGACTGGGTCAGAGCTTGGTCAAGGGCGAGGGCTGAGTCTGCGGGGAACCCAGCTGGGGTCTGTGTGCCACTGTGGTCAGGGGCCCTGGTCCAAGGGCCAGGCTCTGGTCTCCTGGGTCTCTGGCGTCACCAGGCCTGTCGCCTCCCCATCTCCTCCTCTCCTGTCTCACTCTGAAATGGAGCTGAGGCAAGAGAGGCCTGCCCCTGGTGTCTGGCCTCCCAGGTGTTTGGGGACCTAAGCCAACCTTGGGGAAGTCCTTGAGGTACCCACCAGGTGGCGATAGAGATGAGCTGGTCTGGCTTGATAAGTGCCCTGCAAGGCAGGAGGGGCCCCTAGAGCTGGAGGGAAGAGGGGGTGCAGGAGAAATTCTTTGTGTGGTCAGCCCCACTCCACCCCTACCTCATCGGCAGCTTGGATGTCCGCCGATGGCCTGTGCCAGCCCAAGACAGAGTTTCAGCTTCTCCTTCGTCCTGAAAGCCACCGCTGGGCTGCTCACCTGCTGCCTCTTCTCAGGGCAGGAGCCCACCTCTGTCCCCCTGTTTTGCCCCATCTTGGGTCTCTCTGTGTTTCATTCCCTTTCCACCCTCCTGGCTGGTAACTCGGCTCCTCGCCTCAGGGCTCTCCCCTTACCCGAAAGCCATGACTCACTAATGGGGGATTTTAAGCCCTGGCGGGGCTGGGTTCAGTGGGCCTCCTGGTCTTTACACCCCTCAGTCAGCTGGTGGGGTTCCTTATCTGGAGGTGGGGTGCTGGTGCTGCCCTTCCCTCTGCAAACACTTGGCTTCTAGGACCTGTTGGCTCCTCCCATTTCTGTTCCCCTCCTCCCCGCCCCTCTTCTACCAGCCCAAGCCGATCCCTCATTCTCTGACCACGTTCTCTGCACAGCCTTCACCCTCTGGCTCTCCCTTGGCCCCGAGATGCTTGGAGCGCCTCCTCCCCGCCCCCCTCCCCCACCCCCCCGCCAGCTGCTCTCTTCCCCCTGAGCCCAGAGGACAAAGCAGGTGGCAGAGGCTCCGGCCAGGCTCCTCCTCATTAGCCACCCAAGTCTTAGCCGGAAACAAAGCTAAGCCATCCAGCACCCTCCCCGATTATGCAGGTGGAGAAACTGAGGCCCAGAATCAGGACTAAAAGACCAGGGCCAGTCTTCTGACCTTACTGAGCAGAATGGGGTGGGGAAGGTCTCTGGAGCCAGTGCAGGGAGTCCCCAGTCGGGAGGGGGAGGAAGGAAACCAGAGAGAGTGAGCGACATACCCCAGCTGGGTGAGAGGAGCATGGACATACCGCCTGTTCCCCATCCCTCGTCTCAGTGCCTTGGAGTACAGGGGCGGGGGACAGGGAGGAATGGAGCAAGTCCCAAGTGTCCCAAACGCCTGAGCCCAGCTCTCCCCACCTGACCCGCACCTTATTGGTGGTCACCATGGTTGGCCTAGGCAGGGGGAGGGGAGAGAGGGTGCTGAGAACTCTCTCTCCAGCAGGCCAGACACTCAAGCTGGGTGCTGCCTCCTTCTCTGCCCTACAGCTGCCATGCACAGGGCAGGCACGGATCGCGGATCTAGACGGAGAGGGTTTGCTACTCCTGGACATGCTGGACCACGGACCAAAGGGTATTTGCCTGGAGCTGCCTTGCTCTAAGCTTACAGGCACTCTCCCTGGCCTGACAGCCCCTGACTGGGTGCTGGGCTGGTCCGTCCTTGATGAGTCCTGGGATGGCACTGAGCAGCCTAAGGCTTGGAAGGAGCCTTCAGGCAGATCTAAGCCTTTGCCAGCCCATTCTGGCCTTTTTTTTTTTTTTTTTTTTTTACCAACTTGGCATCCCTCTCCTGCTCCTGCAGCAAGACACCTCCTTGTAAGTTTGTAGAAAGTGGAGGCCAAGGAGGTCAACTCAGGCAATGGCTTTGGAGACATCGCTTGCTGACTGACATCATCCACCTCACCCTACTGCCTCTGTCTACCAGTGTTCTCCACCTTCCTAATGTCGAGACCCTTTACTACAGTTCCTCATGTTGTGGTGACCCCCAATTTCATTGTTACAAATTGAACATAATTAAAGCATAGTGATTAATCACAAAAGCAATATGTAATTATATATGTGTTTTCCGATGGTCTTAGGCGACCCCTGTGAAAGGGTCGCGACCCACAGGTTGAGAACCGCCGGAACCTTTCTGTTAGTGGTATTGCCGCTGCTCACTCACTTTTTTGGGTTACTCCTCACCTGAGGATATTTTACCACTGGTTTTTAGAGAGTGGAAGGGAGGGGGAGAGACACACTGAGAGAAACATAATGACTGGTTGCCTCCCACACACACCCGACCAGGGCTGGGGATCGAGCCTGCACTGGGGGTACGTGCCCTTGACCGGAATCAAACCTGTAACTCTTCAGTTTGTGGGCCGATGCGCTATCCATTGAGCCAGACCAGCTAGGGCTCACTCACTTGTTTTGGTGACATTTGTTCTGTCCTCTATCTTCCTCCTCTTGGCTGAATAATGGTAATAGCAATACGGCCATCTCATAGGCCATGGACCCCTTGTCTGCAGGAATGGATGCGGCCTGGGAAATGCTCACACCAAACCATTTCCTGGGCTGCGGGCAGTTCTGTTAGCTGTTTTGTATTGATTCAATAGAACTGTCTCTTTGGGTCTGGATCTGAGGGTGGGAGGACACAATGAAGACCTGGTATAACTTCTTCACACTCAGAAGAGAGAATACCTCTCTGTGAAATGTCAGTCCAAGACCCTTAGAACTGTGTGCTTCTCCCATGGCATGCATTGCTGCCCAAAGTCAGAGGGGTGGTAGCTTCTGGCTTCTGTGTACCCCTCCTCCCAATGGGGAGAGATGGCAGCAAGTTGGAAGCTAGTCCCCATTTTAGATCACACAGGAACATCGACCACCAAGGAAACCAAGCCAATCCTACACAACATTTATTATTGCACAAATGAGGGTCTTCCGGCTGTGGTGTGGGCAGGAAGCCATGGGACCACAGAGGTGCAGAGCAGACACACGATGCCATGACCACCAGGCTGTTGTGTAGATGACACATGGGCCAGAGGACTCCTCAGCGACAGCCACACGCCAGGGAGGGTCAGGTGGGATGTGGTTGCGGTTACAGGGATGGTGGCAATAACGACGAGTGGTGAAACAAATAACAAGAGGATCCAGCATGTTATAAGATATAAAAGGCAGCAGTAAGAAGTCTGTGCTTTCCCTTTCCTGTCAGCCAGATCTGAGTTCAAATCCTGCTGCATGACAAGGCCAGGTACCTGCTCTGTGAGGCTCCGCTTCCCGACCTGTGAAACAGGGACAGTCATTCCCACCTTGCTGGGTTGATGTGAGGACTGAGGGACCCACGAGTGCACATCTCTGAGCCTAGTTCTCACAGCTGGCTTGTAGGTAGGCAGCTGAGGGCAGCTCCAACAACCCATAGGGATGGGTACGGTTGGTGGCAGCCCCTCGAAATGTTGCCATCATCCTGGGACCACCCCACTTCGGCAGAGACTCTGAAGACAGCTGTGCTCCCCAAACCAAAACTCCGTATCACAATTGCATCGCTTACCTCCAGGACTTGGCAGCTAAGAGGGCACTGGGGGAGGGGACCGCATCCTCAGAGAGATGCCTGAATGGTGATACTTAATCCAAAGGAAGCTGACAGCAAGGTTGGAACTTCAGGCACTGATGAGGTGGTGGTGTCGGGGGACCTTTGGGGATCGGGGAGTGCAAGGCCTTTATCAACCATGTTCCCACTGTATTGTCTGGCCTGGGTGGTTGCCTTCCTGGACTGGTCACGAGGGGGGGCGGAGTCACTTGAGTATGCAAATTTCCTTCCATTGATTGGGAGAGAGCCTTTGGGGGCGGAGTCTGATGACTGAGCTCCACCCCACACCTTCCAGGGTGCACCTCTGGGGGCTCCGGCTTGCTTAGAAGCGCCTCCCTCTCCCCAGGCCGGCGCCAGAGCTTCTGGACAGTGACCTGGGGGCCAGGACGGCCTCCGAGCCCAGGGCTGGGGCTACTCGCCCCGGTAGGCCTCTGTCCCCAGTGTCGCCCGGGAGGGCGGGTGGGTGGGTGCGGGCAGGTGGAGCCTCCCTGCGCCCCTGGGTGCCTGGCGGTCAGACCAGGGAGTCCTCGGCCTGGAAGCTGGAGGAGCGGCGCGCGCCCGGGCTGACGCGGGTCAGCAAGGAGACCTGTGTGCTGCAGGTCACCCCGTTGCTGCTGCTGCCGCCGGGTGGGTGCTGGTATTTGGGGCCCAGGCCCAAGACGCCCTGTAGGTCCCAGCGCCGCCACTTCCGCCGCAGCTCTGCCTGCACCTGGGAGAAGGGAGGGTGGTCACACCCACACAGCCTCCTGGGGAGTCTAAATTGAGAGACCCCGATGCTCCCTTTGGGGGTACAGAGTTGGGACGCTGGGGGCCAAGGTCAAATCAAGGCCTTGGAGTAGGGGAGGAGGGAGGCAGAGAGGATCAGAGAATGCAGACCCGGGATGGAGAGGGATGCTGCCTGGGGTGGCTGTATCCCCATTCCCATCCCTGCCCTCCAGGCCACTTGAGCTCATCCAAACGGACTTCTGCGCTTTGTAACCAGGCCTTCACTGTAACGCAGCCTTCACTTGCTGCCCCCACCCTCCCCTCTCACTCGGCGCACAGCCCCTGAACAGGCACTTGTCAAACTCTGCGTTTACTGAAAATGCAGACCCGAAGCCAGCAGGTCTGGACTGGGCCCAGCAATCAGCATTCTTAACTAGGTCTTCGATGCGGCCATTGAGTTACTAGTCTGAGGACCACACTTGGAGTAGCGAGGTTTAACCCGTCCTCGCTCTGCTCCTATCCCACCAGCGTTTCTGGACCCTGGGCCCCAAGGTCTGGGCGGGGAGGGGGGCGGCAGGGGGGCTCACCTCGCCATTGAGGAAGCAGTAGAGGACAGCCACCAGAAAACCCTGGGAGGAAGGGAACAGGGAGGTGAGTTGGGCAGACCACAGGGGCCCCTAGCCCTGCCCAGCCCCCGTGTTCTCCTGGTTAAGCAAAAGGCTAAGTACACAGCAGGTGCTTAATCAATACTTATTACAGTGAAAAGACTGGAATCCAGTGGCAAGGGGCGGAGGCCCCAGGTCGAATTCCCTTCCAGCCCAAAGGAGAAGGCAGCCGTAAGTCAACAATTCATACCTGGAAAGACCCCATGACGAGATCAAAGATCATTTTCACTTCAGCGTTGAAGTTGTCGGGGAAGAAGGCAAACACAGTGTAGTGTATCCCAAACAGGGGGATCAGCAGCAGGGTGGACTTGGCCAGCCTCCTGGGGGCAGGGAGGGACAGGCAGTGAGTCGGTGTGTCCATACATGTGGACACAACAGGCCTCCCCAAGAAGATGGGGACAGCAACCAGGGTGTGCGAGGAAGAACTCTGGCCCCCTGACTGTGATGTCCGCCTCTGGTCCTGGTCCTGGTCCATATCTGAGGTGTCTATGTCCTCAGGCCCCAGCCCTCCTAGTCTGGAGGGAAGCACGAGGGAGAAAGAAACCCCTCTATCCTCATCCTTCTGGAAGAGTGAGAAGGAGGGCCAGTGCTGGACCCCGAGGACGATGCATGATGGTGGGATTCCAGCCTCTGTGGCAGCCAATGGGGAGAGAACCCGACTCCCTCTCCTGGCCTCAGTTTCCCCCAATCTGTACAATGGGGTAAGTGTACGCTCCACATGGTCAAAGTATAGACAGCGGACCCACTGTAGACTGAGAAGTGCTTTGGGTGCTATGAAGTGCAATGGCTCCATGAGACCAGTTCTCTCCTGGGAGAGGTCTGAGTGGTGGAGGGGTCTCTGTGTTTCTCTCTCCTGCCTTGGCGGTCAGCCCAGGGGAGCCTAGTCCCCCGCCTGAGGCCCCACAGCAAACCGGGGGCAGGGAAACTGGCCTTGCCTCTCCCATTCCTTCCTGGACCTGGTTCCCAGCCAGGCCAAGATCCCGAGCACTGCCCACCCCTCCTTGGCCCGCTGAGGCTGACAGATGGAAGCTCTCTTTAAAGTGAAGGCTTATGGGGAGGTGGAGAGTGGGAGCTGACAGCCCTGCTCGGGGAGCTCCATCTCCTATCCGTCCCCCGCCCCTCTGCCTGCCGACAGCTGTTCAGTTTCCATCTCACCCACGTGGACCTGGCAATGACCAGCTCTCTTTGCCTCGGATTCAAGCCCTTTTGAGTAGTTGAATGTTGGGGAAAACAAGGCCCACAGACAAAAGTAGAGAGTGAGCGTGGGCAGGTCTGAGGTCCTACCCCTTGGCAGACGGCCGCCTCCTGCAGGGCCTTCCCTTCAACAACTGGGAGAGGCTCCGCCCCCACACCCAGCAGGAGAGAAAGCGGGCACCCTATGGAATGCCTATCTCAGTCTCATCCGTGAGATCACAGGAGTCCAGAATAGAATCCTCACTCCAGCAGCTCAGGACGTTCTAGCCGGGAACCTTAAAACCACAGCACAGACTCCCCCAAAGAGAAGCCAGGCCAAGAACATTCTAGAATCCCAGGACTAGAAGGCCCTTGCAGAACGCCCAGGCTTGTGTCTAGTCTGTGCAGCGGTGATAATCTCCTGTTCCCATCTGTGGGCATGCAGGTGCCTACTCACCTGCCCACAGACACCCTTTTCTTGTTTCTTTTGTTCTGTCTTCAAGCCCACTGTTCTCACGAGAACCTGCCTGTTTCTCCAGTCCTCCCCGGCACAGGGGACAGCCCTCACACCCTGCTAAGCCTCCAGGAGCATGACCGCTGTCCCATGGACACCGTGCCCTCCCCCTGCCATGCGGCATACTCCCAAACCTTTGAGAGGAGGGAGTGTGTGTCAGTAGCCTCACTTGTAAAACAGGAGCAGTTTATAGGGGGCGGTGGGGTGAAATGAGATGATGAATGGAAACCCCTGGCACATGCCTGGCATGTGAACTGCAGATGTTGTTGTTATTACTGGCAAGTCCAGAGTCCTGAATATGGCTGTGTTGTTGGTAGATTGGAGGCTCCCCAGGGCATTCACTAACTGCATTTATTGGCCCCTTTTCTCTGCCAGGCACATGCCAGGGACTGAGCCCTCAGTGTGGACAAGACACAGGTTATCTACTGTCTTCTCCAGCACCCTGGCGAGGCAGCAGATTCGTACCTGGGTCCGATCACCTGCCAGGGAAGGTGACTGCAGGAGAAGCAGACGTGGGACTCATGAGCCTGGACCGGTGGGGCTGGGGCAGAGGACACTTGTGGACTGAGCCAGGCCATGGGGTAGAGGTGGGCAAGAGCAACGTGGCTTTTGGTGACTCTGGAGGGGGACATACAGGAGACACGGGATGCTTTGAGGACCGGGCATGGGGATCCTGGGAGAGCCAGGGCACTGGCGGCACACTCACGAGTACGGGCTTTTGTCACTCTTCCTGACATTTGGGGTCTGCAGTTTCTGAACCAGGATTCGGATGATGCGAATAAATAGGATGAAGTTCACCTGGTGGTGGTAGGCCAAAGATGGGTAGTCAGAGAGAGAAGATTGTCCAGCTCCCTGGGTGGGTGGCCCGTCTCGTCCCTAGAGCCCTGCTGCCCTTCCGTCTTACCTGTCCCCTAGCTCTCCCCTCTTTGGGGCAAGTCATCTGGGAACTCTACTTCCCATCCCTAAAGCCTGGGCCTCCCAATCCTTCTTCTCTACTCTAGAGGAAAAATCCATCCCTAAGGCCTTGGCGGGGGTGGGGGTGGGGCGGGAGGGGGGAGGGAGGGCGGCAACACTGCATTAGGTATTGGGAAGCCTAGGTTTCAGTTCTGACCTAGACTTGGAATTTCCTGTGTGACCTGAAGCAAGTTGACTACCCAGCCTGGGCCTCCGTTTCCCCATCTCCGAGTGGTGGGAGGAGGTCTTACCAAGATGGAGGTGAGGACGGGGGCCTTTAGGATCCACCACAATCGTGAGGTACTGATGGTGTCCCAGCATCTGGGCAGGGGATGGTAGGGGAGAATGAGAGAGGTTGTCCTCAGCCAGAGAGACGGTCAGCAGTTCTCCCCGTTGTCCCCAGCTCTGCCCCTGGTCCCTTCAGAGGCATGGACCCAGAGTCTGTCGCTCCCAAGCCCCCCTCATCCCACCCAGGGATGTACCCCAAGGGATGGCGGCCAGGAGGAGGGGGTAGGGTGACAGCTCACCCATAATCCTCAAAATAGATCTTGGTGATGGTCCACACCACGGTGAATGTGCTGGGCACCCCTGTCAGGGCCGAAGGAGAAAGAGGAGAGGGCATGGGAGTCAGGGAGAGAGGGCATGAGGGAGAGATTACGGAGGAAGAACCAGAGAGAGGGAGGGAGAGAGAACAGGTGGGTTACTAGGGCTGCGCCGTATGGTTGCGTTGGTTGTTCACTGTGCTCCATTGAGGATTGAAACTGTGTGTCTGAGGGGCTGTGCCCACCTACAGGGCGAGTCTTTTTCAGCCCTGTGTTTCAAGGCTGAAGGGGTGGTGGAAAGATGTTCCTAGAACCTGTCTGTCCCACAGCCCAGCCCTGGCACAGCCTCAGGGCACCTGCCCTGGGTCACACATTTAAGAGACTTTTATCAACCCTTGGCTAGAGACTTGCAGGCAGGACCTACAGTCCAGCAAGACCTAGGATTGCAGGCTGGGTCAGCACCTGCCCCTTCGTAAGCTCCCCAAGCCTCGTCCCCTATGTCCCCAGCCTGGTCACCCTCCCCAGAACCATACCCCAGCCGATGAGCATGTACCCCCAGAAGTACTTCCGCTCGGAGAAGAAGGAGACTACAAGCAGGGTGTGCAGGTACAGGCCCTCCACCAGCAGCCAGAAGAAGTTGGTCATGACACAGTATTGGAATAAGACCACAGCGGCCTTACAGCCCACCTGCAGGGAAGGAGCAGAAGAGGGGTCTCACTGGGGCTAGTGGCGGCCCCCATCTGCCCACAGCTCTGTTTGGGTTGACACAGTTGCTATACAACCGACTTAATCTCTGTTTTTATCCCCTAAAAAATATACTCAGTGGTTTTCCAATTATCCTTGTAGTGAGATCATCTGATGCTTTGGAATAAACTTGTGGTTTTAATTATCCTAGCAATTTATCATCTTATCTATTTATCTACCCACCACCTACCCATCCAACCATGCATCTTCCTACCTATCCATTTATCTACTTATTCACCCACTAGACATCCATTACCAACTCACCCATCTATGTATCCATCTACTATCCATGCAGTCATCCACCATCTATTCATCTTTCCATCTATCAATCCATCCACATACTCACCTATCTATCCATTCATCTACCTACTCACCTACTAGCCATCTACTACCAACCCAGATACCTAACCATCTATCTATTCATTCATCTATCTCCCTGTCCATCAACCTGCGCATCCATCCATCCACCTATCTACCCACCTACCCCTCTAACATTATCTATCCTTTCTTTTTCTTACTTTATCCACCTATCCTTTCACCTACTCAGTCATCCACACACCTATTTACTCAGCCATCCATCTACTTACTCATCCACTTAAACATCCCTCCCCCATTAATCTTATTCCAATTAGGATTAAAGGTGGAAGAGGTATGAGGGCAATTCTTTCTCCCATTTGCAAGAATCCATTGAATGTGTGGGGAAGTGAGCTCTGGGCTGTGGAGTAGGCCCAGCTATGAGTGTTGAGGAGAGATGGGGACTGAAAAGAGAGAAGTGGAGGGGGGAGGAGAAATGAGGAAAAAATGGAGAAGGGAGAGATGGCTATTCCTCCTGGGGCCAGAGAAGCTGGTGAGAGAATGGGTTCCCCAGGAGGTGAGGACAATGGAGGAGTTACAGGTCACTCCTGAGGAGGGCCAGCAGGGGCTCTGGGTTGATTAGAAGGTCTCCTGTGCTCTCCTAGAAGCAGTCTCCCATTTCAGATCAAGCCCAACCACCTGTGGGCCAGAGCTTAAAGCCACCTCCTCCTGGAAGCCCTCTAGCATCTATTCCTCCCAGTATCTGGAACGCAGGTTCCCACTCTTCCTTCCTGTGCCCTTGGCTTTGAAACATCCTCAGAGAACAGTCTACCTTCCTGTTGTACACTTGCCTACCTTCCGTTGTATACTTGTTTTACGAGAATAACTCAGCTCTTTAACAGGACCATTTATGTGCGTTTGTCTAGCCTTCGAAAAGCTTCACGGAGCTGCTAATGAGTCGGGAAGCCAGGCTCCACAATTACCCTTAACCAGTGAGCTGGTGGCTGCAGGCGGCTCCCCAGGCTCTGCACTGACACTGCATATGTCTGGGTCCTCTGAGGAGCTCTGGGAATGGCCCGGGTGGCTCCCCTGGGCTTTTCCTTCCCCTTGTCGACATGCCTGAGATTCCACGGGCACAGATGAACTCTGGGGAGAAGGTACTGCTCTCCCCTGAAACCACGCACGGTGTCTGCATTCACTCACGGAGCTGGGGCAGGGGTGGGAGCCGGGACTGGTCTCCAGCTCTGTCCCAGCTCGAGGACACTCCTGAGCTCAGAATCACCTGCAGATGGACCCCTCAGTGACAGCGCTGCATTCTTAGACGCTGTTAATTTCTCTTCTCGAGGAAGCCCCCGGACTTACTGATGGTGGGGAGCACAGGAGAGGGGGGCTGTGTGTGTCTGGACTGACTCCACGTGGCAAGGGGGCGCAGGAAGGGTGGCGTGGTGAGCAGAGCCCGGGTTTGCCGATGGCAGAGGGTAGAGCTGGAAGCAAGCTTGGAAGTCCTTGTACAGATGGGGGAACTGAGGCAGGGAGTTTCCTAAAGTCACATGGGGAGTTAGGACAGATGTGAGACGGCGGCTGTGGGCTCTGGCCATGAAGTTTATTTCCCATCAAGGAGAGACGTTTCTCATTGGTGGGGGCAGGTCTTCGAAACCCCAGATGGCTGGGCACCACCTCTCATTGTGGGGAGAGGAGTGGGATTCAACAAGCTGCCAGGGGGTTGGCCATCCATGGAGAGAAAAAGAGGAGAAAGGAGAGAGAGAGGGAGAGAGAGAGAGAGAGAGAGAGAGACAGACAGACAGACAAGGGGGGAAGAGACAGGGCGGTGGCCAGGTCCTCACCCAGGACTCGGAGCAGTCTTCTGACGGGCTGCTGTTGAAGAGGATCAGGTCCTTGATGAAGACGGAGGCTGCCCTCAGGATGAAGGACATGAAGAGGTGCATGTGGATGTAGTTCCGTGTGCAGTGGAGCTTCCTGGGTGACATGGGCAGAGCTGGGAGGCCGAAGGGGCCTCGGACCCCCACCCAACACTGTCAGCTCTGAGCAAGGGTACGGAGGAAGGAACACATGGCCCAAGTGCTGGTTCTGCCCCAAACGGGGGCCCTGTCCCAGGTATCCCTTCCCCGACTGACTGACCGACCGACCGACCGACCGACCGTGTGCAGCCGGGCCTCCAAGTGCCTCAGCCTCCAGGTGCCTCAGTCCAGAGCAGAGCCCTGCCCTCCGGTCCCCTATCCCCAGGTGCAAAGCCATCCTGTGGGGACCAGGCTAGGACAGAGGAGGCTGGACCTTACCTGAACAGGCTCAAGATGGCCATGGCGACCAGAAGGGAGGTGAGGGACAGGCCGTAGCCGATGGTGTAGCCAGTCTTCAAGGAAATGTAGAACCTATTCTGATGCTGGTAGAGGGAGGTGGTGAGGATCTTCGGTGGGGATGGGGTGAACGCGCCCAGGGGTACTGGCAGGGGTGGGGCGCCCTACACATCCTGCCTGCCCATCCCTGCCTTGGCAGAGGAGGCTGAAGCCCAGGGCTCCCGAGGGCAGCTGAGCTGCCCCCTTCAGAACCCAGACCCATGACATCCCGGTCTGCACAGTGGAGACCGGACTGCCTCCTAGGGTGGGGGTTGACTGTAATTGCCCTCTGCTCCTTCATGGGAAATATCAGGGCAGGAGAGAGAGAAAACCTCACATGTTCCATCTGTCCCTGTATTCTTCAGTCATGGTCTAGCACCCCCTCTGTGCCAACTCTGGGCTTGGCAGCCTCGGAACCAAGACTGCTTGCCCTTCAGGCCCCACCCCAGGACTTCCCTCTGTGTGGGGAGAAAGGCACGCCGGGCATGGAGAAGGACAAGAAGACACTGGGGGTGATTTCGCATTTGGGACTCTATCTGAGAAGGGTGTCTGGGGGCGGGACAGATGTCATCACAGACATACAGAGACACACATGGGTTCACACACCAAAGCAGCGAGGGCTGCTAGCTGAGGACTCCAGTTCCACCCCAGCTCCCCATCAGTGTCCCTGCCTGGCCCCTGACAGTGACCACCTATGCTTCCCCGGCTCTGGGGCAGATCCCTGTCCTGGGACTGAGGGGTGGTCCTGTCCCTGTCCCTCCAGTATCTGCTCCTTGTTTTCCTTCCCCATGTGACAGGGAGGATAGCATCTCCCTCCCTTGTCATGTCCAGGGCTGGAGCAAGGTCCCACCAGGCAATGGGTGGCCTGGCCCGGAGGTGCAGCTTCAGCTTTTGCTGCTCTGAGTCATCCTCATGAAAGCACCCTCATCAGGGGAAGCCAGGGGACAAGCCCCTGGAAAGGCAGGCCTGGCGAGGGAGGGGGCGCCTGGCGAGGGCAGAGCCCAGGAGTCCTGGCTCCCACACAGGCTGCAACCTCCACCCCTCGGTGGGAGAGAGTGGAAGGAGCGGGGGTGGGGGTGGGGTGGGTGGGGTAGGAACTCTGGTGGGGGTGGGGTGCACTGAGGCCTACCTCTTCCAAAAATGGTTCTGTGACACAGGCAATGGGGTAGGGGCTAGGCTCCAGTTCTGTCCAGCCCTCGTCTGTACATCTGCGGCTCACGTTGTGGCCTTGGGGGAGGAGAGAGGTTGAGGCCAGGGGAGGGGCAGGACCGTGGAGAGTAGGCATGGGGCCTGGCAGTCTCTGCCCTCAGCCCTACTCCCGTAAACCTCTGCTGTGTCAGACTCCCATCTAGACCGCAGGGCATCATGGGAGAACCTGGGGCAGGGAGAAGCCCCCCCTCTCCCCACTTACCACCCCCCTCCCCCGGCTGCCAGGGCATTCCTGGGCTCAGCCCTGCCCTTGTCATGTCTGAACCTGACCCCAGGGGCAACGTAAGCTCTGATCCTTGTCCCAGATAGCCTGGATCCTTGGCTCTCTGAGTGATCCCTGACCCTTGCCATGAGCTAAATGCTGGCCCTTGTCACAGGGCCTGGTGTGGCAGATGACTTCTTTGTCCTGTGGGTCCAGACAGCAGCCCTCTGACCTGGCCACTGCTCCTGGGCCAGCCTGCCTGGGCCTACGGGCCTGGGTTTCCTCCCACACCTGGTGGGGCTCAGGCGAGGAACCACAGGTGAGGCAGGAGGCGGGCGGGGCTGGGGGACACCTGATAATGGTGCCAATCTATAATCCACATAAACGGAGAGGCAGGGAGTTCCCGGCAGGGGAACCTGCCCAGGCAAAGGCATGTGCGAGGGACTCAAGCAGCACAGCCCAGCCCAGCCCAGCAGGGTCTTGGGGCTGAACCATGTGGATCCTGGGGCTCCAGGCAGCTTCAGGATGGTGGGGGCGGGGCGAGGGGAGGAGGTGTCCTATAGACGCCCTTAACACAGACTTGAGTCTTTTCAACCAAAATAGCCACCACACTAAAAGAGGCTCTTCAAAGAGTTGAAGGTAAAAACCAGATTAAAGGCATGCAGACCACGACTTAAAGGACTAGGCTCCCCGGAACATTTTGGTGCTTCAGTGAGTGGCCCACCCCCCCCCAGGTACTCTGACCCCGTTTGGGAAAATGACTTCTTTCGGACCCTCTGCAATCTTTATCTTCCGCAAGGTCTCTTCAGCTCTCATTGTAGAACCAGGTCCCTTCCAACCCTTCCAGGGGGAACACGTCTTCCCGGGTCCTGGTACCCCAGGGGCTGGCTGGCGTTGGCATCACCCCTCCCTGCACTTCCCTTCCTCACGAACTTCCCTCTTTGGAACTTCAGGCCAGTTGCTCACACCTTCACCTAGTTGCCCAGGAAAGCACACCCTGTTTCCTTTACATTCCCGGCCCCTAACCCTGTCTCCTACTTGTCTCCGTCATTCTCAGAGACACTTGCACAGCCAAGGAGAGCTGAGCAGGCTGCTCACCGCACGGGGCGCCTGGCTGATGGGGACGGGGCTCGGTTTTCCTTTATACTCAGCTGGCCACTAGGTGGGTCTGTAAGAGGCTGGCTCTGTCTGAGGAAGGGCAGCCCTTTTCTCATGGGCACAAAGGCACCGTGTGGGCCCCTGGGAGGCGGGCGGCCTCGGGATTAGTCAGATGGTGGGCTGCAGTCCAGGTTCCCAAGTGAAGGAGCTGCTTCGATAATCCCAGCAGGGCCAGAAGGAAGAGCCGTCAGGAGGAATGCAATTAGCGGGTGTCAGGAAGGAACGTAATTAGTAGGCGCTTCCAGGGATCCAAGAGAAGGCTGTGTGCCAGGCCCTGCTGATGGGACCTGGGGGAGTAACTCAGCTCCCACCTGCCCCCGGGCTGGGCTCCCCTGGAGGAGTGCTGGGCTGGGTGGGTGCCATCTGGAATATGACACGCCTGTGATCGCTCCCAGATTCTGCAGGGAGGACCTCGGGGTCTCTCCGTCACGGCTGAGGGCACACCGCTGGGGGGCAAAACTGGCCTGTCCCCAAGAAGCCATTTGGTCCACCTCCCATGCCTACTTGACAAACAGGGAGACTGTGGTCCAGAGAGGGAAAGGCCACCCGGAGTGAGAGGTGCCCAGAGTCTTTGTGCGCACCCTTCGAATCCGTATCTAGGTCCTGCTCCTCCCTACGTCCTCCCTGCCGCCGCTCCAGTCCACCTTGTCCCACCGATGTTGATTCTCTCCAGATGCTCCCACAGCGGGATCTTTGCGTGGCGGCTCCCCCCACACTCCAGGTCTTCAGCTCCTGTCCCTGAGCATCTGCTTTACGTTGCACCACTTCCCCCTACCCCCTTCCCACTCCTGGCACCGTTTACCATTTAGGACACGTGTGTCTGTTTTCTTGCTCAATGTCTCTCCAACTAGAGCGCTGGTTCTCAACCTTCTGGCCCTTTAAATACAGTTCCTCATGTTGTGACCCAACCATAAAATTATTTTCGTTGCTACTTCATCACTGTCATGTTGCTACCATTATGAATCGTCATGTAAATACCTGATATGCAGGATGGTCTTAGGCGACTCCTGTGAAAGGGCCGTTCACAGCCAAAGGGGTCGCGACCCACCGGTTGAGAACCGCTGAACTAGAGCTTTAGCCCCCTGTGGGCAGATGGGGTGGCTGTTTTCTGCCCCCCGTCACCGCATGTTTGTCTAGCCCAGTGCTGGGCATGTTAGTAGGTGCTGAATGAACATTCACTGAATGGAAGGGTGGCCTACGGACCACATTATGCGGTCAGTCTCTTTAACTAACTATTTACTAGCAAGGAAGCCCACTTCCTCAAGAGGCTCCCTTCTCTTTCCACCTTGTATGTGAACATTCATTTAAGCAGAACACGACGAGGTGTGTAAGCAAGGCCATGCGGTGATTTCACGGAGCCGGAGAGGGCGCCGGCTCCAGGCAGCGAAAGACTGAATCAAGTGCAGACCGGGACAAAGGAACACGGGAGCCATGGTTTAATCAAGTACCTGTCAGTCAATCAGTTATTAATTGCTGAGCAAATATTTAGTGAGCCCTTCCCACATGGTTATCTTTATGTGAAGAGTTAATCAAATCCCGTAAGTTCTTCAAAGACCTAGTGCCAGAGCATCCTCTTCCAGGAAGGCGCCCTGATTGCCCCAGCCTCTTTGACCCTCTCCCTTTCCTTCTCATTTCCCAGGGAGGTGAGACTCCCCTCTAGTCCACGCCACTTGTGCCACCCAGCTCCCTCACTTGAATCCAGGGCTCTTACCTTGAAGAGAGTAGAATAAACTGTAGATGAGGGGACAGGCCATGACGACCACCTGGCCCCGAGGGGTGGCTGGCCAGCAGGTGATGTTGTCCCACATCTTGCTGCAGCCTGTGGGGTAACGGCAGGGGACACATGGGTCAGCATGGCTACCAGGTGCCTCCAGCCACTCTTCTTCCTCCTCCTCCAGGCTCCCACCTTGAGGAGCCTGTGGTCTGAGAGGGGAGGCACAGCCCTGCCCAGGCTGTACAGGGCCCATCCTGACAGGGCGCAAGGAGGAGGCAGACTATAGCTCCACGGTCCTCAGCGGGGGGCAGAGCGCCCCAGGGGTATTTTGGACAGTAGTGGGGGATTTCTTGGTTGCAGACTGGGGGCCTCACCCTGCATTTGATGGGCAGGCACCAGCTCCAGCGTGGCCCTGCACAACGATGAATTGCAGAGCTTCTGCAAGACTTTCAAGTGAGCCACTGGGCACTTGCATCGGTGAAATCCTGTTGCAATGACCAGAGCCTGGACTCACTCCATTTCCCATACAAACACAAGGTATTTATGGCACGTGTAACATGCACAGTGTTCCCGGAGTGCAACTACTGAGTAAAGGGAGAGAAGGAGGGGCTTTGGCGCTTTCTGAACTTTACTGAAAGTTGTTTAATGTTTTGGAAAAGCATGTTCCCTACAGCAATGCTGCCCATGACATCTGAGCCAGGGATGCAACCACCGGCTATATACCAACCTCCATCCATAGCCCTCCCATTCCCTGAGGTTATATTTATAGGTCCAATCTTCTTATCTTCCAGTGGGATCAGGCCTGGCTTTGTTAGATAGTATTTAATTATAAATTCCTTCCCTTTCTTCTTTTATGTTACAATTAGAACATCATTTTTTTTAAAAAATGAATGTGTGGCCCTAGTTGGTTTAGCTCAGTGGATAGAGTGTAGGCCTGCGGACTGAAGGGTCCAGTTCTATTCTGGTCAAGGACACATGCCCAGGTTGTGGGTTTGATCCCTAGTAGGGGGTGTGCAGAAGGCAGCCAATCAATGATTCTCTCTCATCATTGATGTTTCTATCTCTCTTTCCCTCTCCCTTCCTCTCTGAAATCAATAAATATATGTATCCTATCTAATAAAAAGAAACACGGTAATTAGCATATGACCACTACACTTCCCATTGGCTAATCAGGGTGATATGCAAATTAACTGCCAGCCAAGATGGTGGCCGACAGCCAGGCAGCTTGAAACTAACATGAGGCTTGCTTGCTTCAGTGACGGAGGAAACCAATGTTCCCCGCCTGCCTTGCCGGCCTCTGAGCCTGCAGTTTGAAACATTGTAACAAATATAGAAGCTAAACAAAACCCCAGAAACCTGCTTTCAGCGAGCGGAGCCGGGATCTCAGAGCTGGAGTTATACATTGTTTCGATTATAGAACCAAAACAAACCAGATACCTGCTTTCAGCAGCGGAGGCCTAAGAGCTGGAGCCTCAGAGCTAAAGCTGGCCCAGAATAAAAAATTAAAAAAAGGAGCGGTTGGGAGCTTCTGTCACCTGCCAGCCTGAAAACAGCCCTCAGCCCCTCACCCAGACTGGCCAGGCACCCCAGTGGGGACTCCCACCCTGAAGGGTGTGTGACCAGCTGCAAACAGCCATCATCCCCTCACCCAGGCTGGCCAGGCACCCCAGTGGGGACCCCCACCCTGATCCAGGACACCCTTCAGGGCAAACCAGCCGGCCCCCACACGTGCACCAGGCCTCTATCCTATCTAGTAAAAGGGTAATATGTCTCCCGGCACCGGGATCAGCATGACAGGGGGCAGCACCCAAACCCCCTGATCACCCTGCGGCTCTGTGTGTGACAGGGGGTGGGGCCACAACTTCCCTATCGGCCCTGCTCTGTTCGTGACAGGGGAAGGCGCCCCAACCCCCTGATCAGCCCTGCTCTGTGCCTGATAGGGGGGAGCTCCCCAACCCCCTGATCGCCCTGTGGCTCTGTGTGTGACAGTGGCGGCACCCCAACCCCATGATCGGCCCTGCTCTGTGGGTGATAGAGGTCGATGCCCCAACCGCCCCCCACAGGCCCTGCTCTGTGTGTGACGGGGTAGAGCCATAACCTCCCCATCGGCCCTGCCCTGAGTGTGACAGGGTGCGGCACCCCAACCCCCTGATCCGCCCTGCTCTGTGTGTGACAGGGGGCGGTGCCCCAACTCCCCTATTGGCCCTACTCTGTGAGTGACAGGGGGGAGCTCCCCAACCCCCTGATGGGCCCTGCTCTGTGAGTGACAGGGGGCAGCGACCCAACCCCCTGATTGGCCCTGCTCTGTGCGTGACAGGGGGTGGCGCTGCAACCTCCCCATCGACCCTGCCTTGAGTGTGACAGGGGACGGTGTCCCAACCCCCCAATCGGCCCTACCCTGAGCGTGACTGAGGGTGGCATCGCAACCTCCCAATCCGCCCTGCTCTGTGCATGACAGGGGCGGCGCCCCAACTCCCCAATTGGCCCTGCTCTGAGCCCGACCAGGGGCTGCACCTAGGGATTGGGCCTGTCCTCTGCCACCTGTGAGCAGGCCTAAGCCAGCAGGTCATTATCTCCCAAGGGGTCCCAGACTACGAGAGGGCACAGGCCGGGCTGAGGGACCCCCCCTCCCCCCCGAGTGCACAAATTTTTGTGCACCGGGCCTCTAGTATATTAATAAAAAAATAAAAAGTAAAAAAATGAATGTGTGTCCTGAATTTCATTTTATAATAGTAAAGGAGGCATTAGACAATATATTTTTAAAGAGGAGTTGTTTACGTAGGGGTGATGGGTATATTGGGGTTCAGCTATTTCTTGAGGAGTCTTCATACAACTCACAAAGCAACACGATGCCCCCAACTCAGCGAAATTGTGAAACTTGATGCGGGTGGTGGTCGAGGGTGAGTTCAGAGGAAATCCTGCATCACAGGCTATGTACTAGCCCGGGACCTGGGGGCGAGGGGTGCACAGTGGGGTCTGGAGGAGTTTACTTTAATAGGCAGATGCAAATGCCATGGGTTTGCCTGTTCAGGGTTTGGGCGCCTCTCAGGGACTAGGACTCCTCTGGATCCCCTCCCCCGAGGGAGGTTTAATTGTCTCTTTGCAACCCTGCCAGTCCCATAGCTTTGTTCAGGAAACCCAACCCCTGAGCCAAAGTCAACGTCAGCTGAGCCAAGCCCAGCCCAGCCCAAGTCCGAAGGTTCCCGAGTTCCCAAGAAGGGGGCCTGGGAAGAAAAGGTGGAAGGATGTCCCCACTCAAGGACGAGCCTCGGGACTCGGAAGGCTGGGCAGCGGGGAGGCGTACCTTCCAGGCCTGCAGCAGCCAATGGCAGCTGCCGCTGAGGCCTGCGGACACCTGAGGACACCCAAGGGCTGGCCCAGGAGCACAGCCTGCCTTCCTCTGGGATCCTAGAACTTCTGCCCCACCCTGTCCTGAGGCTTCTGTCCTCACGGGTTCCCAGTCCCTCCTTCATTCCTGTGCCAACCTCTCTGGCGGCCACGTAGAGCCAGTCAAATCCTGTTGGCTGTGCAAGACCATTAATACTATCAGTCAACACTCCTGGAGCCTTTGTAAGTAGGAGGAGCTGTTCCCCCCCTTTTCAATGAATGACTTAGTTAGTCCTCCCATTTTAGAGATGAGTTACCGAGGCACAGAGCAATGAGGGAACTAGCCCAGGGGCGCGTGGGGTAGCCTGTTCACATGCTCCCTTCTCCAGCAAACCTCTTGCTCTCCTGTGCTGAATGGCTCCATGCTGATTCTCTGGGGAATTTTCTCTGTTTAGCCTCCCTGACGGCGCTGGGCTCCGCCTCCACCAGAGGCAGCACAGAGGGAGACCAGGCCCTGTCCTTAGGGAGGTCACACTTGGCCTCAAGGACTCTCAGTGCCACCAAGCTGGGCGGTGAACTGTGCTGGGCACAGGCCAGTGGGCGGGACAGGGGAGCCAGGGAAGAGAGGCTGGCAGGGGGGTGTGGTCCAGGGTGGGGGTGGTGGGGGTTCCTGCAGGAGGCAGCAGGGTCTGGAAGCAGAGAAGAGGTGACGGCCAAGAAAATGCCAGGCATCTGGAGGCCCGTTGTCCTGGGCTGGGCCTGGACATATTTTCTGTGTGTCCATCCAGGGAGACCCCTCAGGTCCCACCACGTGTCACCAGGCCCACAGAGACACAGGGCCCAGGCTGGCTGTGTGTGCCTGCTGGGGGCTGTCACCTAACAGGAAAGAAAGATCAACCAGGAGCCTGGGGTGGGGGATGGTGAGGCAGAGTGGGGACCTCTGCCAGGTCATTTCATAGATCTGTGTGCACAGAGAGAGACACACTCACTGACAAGCACTCCCAGACACACAGAACCACAGACACACATGCAAACATACGTACATGTATGCTTACTTGGACCTGGAAAGACCAGACACAAGTAAACACAGGTACAGAGACATGACTTAGACACATATGCATAGACATGACAGCGTATCACAGACATTCACACTGACACACACACAGCACACCAGGCAGATACATCTGGGCACATCCAGGCTACACAGACACACGCTCTGACACACAGACACTCCGAGTCAGACATGGAGCTCAGACCCCACAGGCACAGAAACAGAACCAGGAAGACACAGGCCGGGAGCACACACCTGACCCTGCCACTGCCCGAACATGCGCAGAGCCCCACACGAGGTCACGGGCAGGCTCACTGCCCGCTGACCCATACTTGCCCTCCTCTGGATTCCTAGCTGGCTGCCTGGTGACAGGATGTTGGTTGCACCTGACAGGCACCCTGTGCCAGCAATGACCTCATCAGGATCACGAGGGTGGCCGGCCCTTGGGGCCTGGAGGGATGTAGGGGGCCTAGAGTCTGGGGTCCCGGTCTCTCTGAGCTGACCACAATCCAGATCGCATTGCTGGGGCCTGTCGGTGGCCTGGCCCCGCCTCCATGTCCCGGTGGGAGCATTGGCAGTGGGCAGTGCCCCTGGACCTAGGCTTAGTCTCAGGGGCTGAGGAGACAGGAGGCCACCCCTCCTGGAGCGGGGGGAGTGAAAGCTATCGGCAAGGCTACTCACACTCACTGATGGTGCAGCCCAGGCCCAAGAAGGAAGGACCCGGAGGGGTCACATAATTGTCAGCCTCAGAGGCGGCAGGGGACTGGGGAGCCAGGAAGACAACACCCCTTTTCCTGGGGAAGAGGGGTAGGGACCTCCGAATGCAGAGCCGGCTGCACTCACTCTTCTGAACCCCAATTTGTATACTCTCCTTAGGTAACAGCTGGGAGCTCCCCAGACTTGGGGTGAGTGATGGGAACATGGAGGTCTGTTGGCACCTTCCTTCTTTGTCTGGCTCCCCAGCTTTTCCCAGCATCCTCTCCTTACCACCCAGCAGCCCCATGGTGCTGCTCCCTCCAACACTATACAATGAGTGTGATATGGATCTGGGCTTGCACTGTGAGGACTGGGGTTCCTTGGGGGTCTGCAGCGCCCCTCTTCCTACGGGGAGGGGTGCGGGGGACTCACCTGCTGTTTCATTTTCCAGCTCGGCCTCCTCCAGGCACTGCCTGTGCTCCGCCTTGATCATTTGCAGGTAGTCACACATATCCCTCACATTGGCCCAGTCCCAGCCGCTCTGCGGGACAGAGACAGGGAGAGGACCGTCAGCCTCGTCCATGGCCCACATCCACAAACTCCCAGGAACATGGGTCAAGCAAGTAAGGCCTGGTTACTGGACTGACCCGAGTTCCAGTCTGAACCCCAATCCCAACCTCGACTCAATCCCGATCCTCACCCCAGGCCGAGGCCTGACCCTGACCTGGATCTTACCCAAAATGTGCTCATTCTCCCTAAAGTGTGGTCTGCCTTGAGGACCCTGTCATGGCTTCCTGGTGGCTCCCCAACCGTGCTGTGGTTATAACAGCTGTGTCTCTTTGAGGGTAGCATGGCCCACACAGGTGAGAGGGCCTCTCCTTGGAGCCCAGAGCTGGCCCACGGACTCTGCCATTGTCCAGCTTGGCGGGCGCGCTGGGAGTCCTCTGTCCCGATCACAGTCCCTGTGACGGGCGGGGCCCAGCTAGTGCTACCTCATTACAGGAGCTGGACCCTGGCCTCCTGTTCCTGGAGCCAGACCTGGGAGGAATCCAGGAGCCTTGCTGCATCTTCCCGCCTGTCCCCATCTAGGAGCCTGTGCTCAGTCCCCAGGTCACCAGCTAGGAAGGGCACACTAGCCCTCTTGTCAGACCTCAACTGCCTCCCTCTTAGCTTTTAATAATTCAAGCTAAGTCAGACCTACTGCTGGGGGTGGGGGTGGGGAAGTTTAAGGAAGTAAGGGAAGCCCTCCCAGGATGGCTTGCCACCCACCAGGCCTCCTCTGCCTCTGGAAGGCGGGGAGAAGCTTGAGCTTTCTCATCCCCTCCCCTCCGCTCCCCTGCACCCTACCTAGGGATCAGGGGTGGGGCCAGACCTGTGTGCCAGTGGAACATTGGCACTGGAGCCAACATGTAAGTAGGGGTGATGGATGCCTAGGAACAGCCAGAAAATTCAGGTCTGGGGAGCCGTTGGGTGGGGAAGGGTGGGTGAAGGCCTCCAGGGAGGAACTGCTGGGCTGGTGGCAGCTTCTGCCTGTCTCTTTGGCTTTAGGGAAGTGGCTGCTGTCCCTGGGAACCCCGTATCAGCTTCCTCATTTCTGCTTAGGGAGGAGAATGTCACAGTCCCAAACAGGGCATCAGGGGAGAGTCCAGCAAGACTGTGCCAGAATCAGATTCTCAGTGTGTCTTCCAGCTTGTCCTCCCCACCAGGGGACAAGGCCTCAGTTTCCCTGTAGGCTAAATGGGCCTTAACTACCTCCCCAGATGACTGAAAGGGTTCTTTTTAAAAATATATATTTTATTGATTTTTTTATAGCGAGGAAGGGAAGAGGAATAGAGAGTTAGAAACATCAATCAGCTGCCTATTGAGGACACCCCCTATTGAGGATCGAGCCCGCAACCAAGGTACATGCCCTTGACCGGAATCGAACCTGGGACCCTTCAGTCTGCAGGCTGACGCTCTATCCACTGAGCCAAACCGGTTAGGGCTGAAAGGGTTCTTGTAGTGGGAAGACACAGATTGGCAGAGTTCCCCTTTATTTCCTTTCTTTAAGAGGGTCCCCATCTAGCCAGTAGGCACCAAGGGTGTGACTTTGACCACTGTTCTAAGTGAGTTGACCTCCCTGAGGGATAAGTGCCCTGGGTGCCAGTGAGCTACCTCTCCACTGCTGTAGGGAGGGGGGCGGTTCAAGCTGAAGCCTGACCACTCAGTGCCCAAGGGCCACATGGCTGAGTCCCTTCCCCCGCAATGGCTCTCATCCCCTGTTGAAGGCTTGGTGGAGCCTCATTGCCACAGAGGTCCCCGACTTTCCCAGTATAGTACCACAGCTGACCACGCCCAGGTGCGAAGGAAAGCCTCCTTGTCCAGGATGTCTTTCAGACTCCCCTGCATCCAGATCTCACTCGCCCACGTGCCACAGGCCTGGAGCCATAGTGACCTTGGCTTCCATCTTGTACCATTCACTTTACCAGACAATTGGAGTAAAGACATTAGCTGGTCAGTCATTTAAAACTTGGCACATTGAAAGTAACACGGATCTGTTATGGAGAGGATGACGTTATTTGTGTAACTTTCAAAGAAAGGATATGAGACTTCCAAGGAAATGCACTGTGATCCCTCTTTGGCGTCACGCACTTCCTCTCTTGCCCATAGGGTTGTTCAGATGAAACACTCCAGATGCTCTGTCCTAAGGGATCTGTGGCTGGCTCAGGCATGGGAAGAGGAGTGGCCAGATGGATCCCAGAGGTGGCCTCTGGAAGAGGAACCTGGGGACTGGCCACTCCAGGTTGTGTCCCACCATCTTGCTTGCTTGGAGTTCCCAAAGTCCCTTCTCGGTCCCATTGTCCACCAGCAACAGGGCTTAGTCTACCTCTGGCCCCTTCCCAGCCTTGCCTGCCTCTCCTTCCCATTCCTACCTCTTATCTCCCACAACACAGATGGTAGTGGATCTATTGTTGCTGCCTTCTACCATCCTTTACCCTCCTCTGGTGCCACGTCCTCATCTCCATCTGGGAAACCACCTTCTTTCCCTCTCCTAGTTCATGGGTTCTGATGATCCCTCTTCTAGGGAATCAACATGGGACCAGACTTGAGCCAGTCAGAGTATTCCTGGCCACAGTGTCTGGCACATGGCCCAAGTCAAAGCCAGGACGCTCATTCCTGGGACTCTGGATTAACCAATTAGGCAAGTGGATTTGTTCTTTTCCACTGGACTGGAAACCTCAAGGGATGAAAGGGCTGGAGCTCCTGCTACCATCTTGTTGCCAAGTGGAACACGATGTGGTAGGGCTTTGAGTGCCACACAGCTAAACGCAGAAAAGAGAGACGGAGAAACACTGGGCCCTCCTGACATGGTCAGTTTCCCTGGGCAGCCATGCCTGAACCCAGCCCTGCTTCCGGCAGCATGAATCAATACCTTTCTTTACAACTTGAGCCAGTTGAGTTTCTGTCTCAGTAACCTAAAGAGTCCAGACTTGAGCTCTGAGGACAGGACAAGGGATGCCCTCACTTGCTGGGCCCTCTTAAGCTAGGTGTGGCTGTCTGACGAATAACATTTCTTTTCTAATCACTGAGGGCTTCAGAGGATTCTTGGTGACTTCTGCCCGCCATCGTAGGGTGGAAGGATGTTGGGTCAACTTCTCCAGCCAGTTCTGCTGCCCCCAGCAGCACAGTCACAGAGCACTTCCGCACAGGGAAGTAGGAGCCCCCAGAATAACTGTGACCCTGGGGTGTCTCTGAATAAAGTTGGGAGGGGTGTTTGGAAATGAGCTCTAACTTCACCACAATGTAGTTGAGTGCTGGGCCCCATCTGGAGAAGGGTAGAGGAAACAGGGACCCAAAGAGGGCTGAGGTCACCCAGCAAATGGACATTACTAGAAGGGACCAAAATTTCTGACCATTAGTCTGGACTATATCAATCTTTCTCCACCATCTCGCCTTGGGCCATCTGGTCAACCACTGCCCTTTGGGCCAAGGCAGCTCCCTCTAGCCTTTATCACTGAGGAACGCAGGCAGACTTTGGACTTCCTCTTCCACTTATTTCCCTATTCTAAACATCCTCATTATCCCTCTGGAATTCAGACACACTAAATTGGAAAATTCCCAGCCGGATACAGGCAAGCTTGCTGATCCATGGAAGGGTTCCAGGGTAGGATAAGCTGGGGTGTGGACTTCATAGAGAATGGGTAGTAGAGGTGGGAGGGTCTTTGAGGATGTGTAGTAGGTGGATTATTAGAGGTGGAATAAGAACATTCCAGAAAGTAGGAGCTGTGTGTACAGAAGCATGAAGGCATGAAAATGCTTAAAACATTCAAGGTTGCAAGAAGCCTTGTGTGGTTGCAGCCATGGGGTATCAGGAGACAAGTTGGGAGATATTGATAGGGGCCAGGCTTCATCCATTCCTGCCTGGACTGGTACAGTAGTTTTCAGCCCCAATACCGACAACCTGAGGGATCTTAATAAAATGTGTATCCCCATCCTCATTCTCCTGCTTCAAATCTCTGGTGGTTCCTATGGCCTAGGAGACACCACACTTCAAAAGATATTCAATGCCTCTATCTCTCAACTTGTCTCCTGATGCTCCATGTGGAGAAGAGAAAGCAGGGCTTTCCCAAGCCCTCACCCATTACTGTGCTGAGGTCCAAGAGAGCTTAGAGTCAGCCTGGCCTTGCAGTTGGGTTGAGGCTAGAGAGGTTCAGGACATAAGGGGTCTCCAACACCTTCTCTATGACAGGAGCACCTGAGCCCAGAAGAAGGGACTTAAGCAAGCGCGGGGGAGACCATAGCATCTCTTCAGTCCAGGTCCTCTGTGTCCCCTGCCTTGGAGTTGGCTGGACGTGGGAGGTGACTGACAGAAAGTTGGCAGGAGAATCCCAACTCTCGGGTTGGGGCCAAGGATTAACCAAAGTTTGTTAATTCCATCGGCTCAGCTGAGGGCCCTCCTCTCTATCTCCACTGCGAGGGGCTTGGGAGAAACCCTGCCTTCTCTCCACATGGTGTTCCTGAGATTTGGGGCAAAGGCTGTGGAGGGTGAAGGTGCTGGGAGTTGAAGCTGTTAGATGCTAGGGGCTCAGAAAGACAGGGAGGGCCCAGCTCACATGCTGTAGGCCAACCCCAGCTCCCTCAAGGGGAGCCTGGGACCACAGGCTTGAGTCAGAACCCCCAGCCTCATCCAGGCAGGAGGAGTCAAGGGAGTCAGAAGCAGTATGCTGGGGGAGCACTTCTGAGGAGCAGCTGGTCCCAGAGGCGACTACACAATGCAGCAGGTTGGATTAGGTGAGACCAGAGAAAACTTCCTGCATGCAAATCACCGAGCACTGGGAGCCACCGTGAATAAGGGGGCTTTTTCCTGCTGGGATGGGGGTGGGTGGTGGAGTCTGGTGATTGGGGAGTAGAGGATAGGGGGCTCAGGAGTGGTCCCACTTACCATTCCCCCAATGCCATCTTATATCCCACATTTCTTTAAGCCCACCCCAATTGAAATAATGGGGCAACAAAGAGTCACAGGGGAAAGCTGAGGATCCAGAGAGAAAGGCACAAGGAGCA